CCGCGACAATTTCATCACCGGGGGTCCCAGCTTCACCTATCGTAGATGGATTACCTGGGGGATTACAATTACCACCCAACATGCGACCTCCACCACAAAACTTTGTTTCCGCTCCGGTCATTCCGAAAATGAAATTGGGTGGTGGTGGTGGATTAAGCGCGAGAAGAGGTATGAAATTACCTGGTGGTCTACCTCCAGCTCCAGCTGCTGCGCCAGGTTCCGAATCAAATGGTGCACCGAATACTGCAAATGGAGGTTCTATGTTTAATCAATTTGCAAAATACGTTGACACCGAGAAAGGGACTTTGAAATTTGCTGGAAAAGCAGTTATTCATGGAGGTGGTATCGATTTTGCAAACGGTACAAATTTCAATATATCTTTGGATGAGGTTGATACATTGGAAGAATTGGGTAAAGGAAATTATGGTACCGTTTACAAAGTTCGACATGCCAGACCACGAATGCGCAAACCTGGATTGGGTCTCGCAGGTAACAAATCATCTTCAACGGATACCGATGATGCCGAAGTGAAACCTGGAGGAAATACAACTGGTGTGGTGATGGCCATGAAGGAACTTAGACTGGAACTTGACGAAGCCAAATTCGCGGCTATCATCATGGAATTGGACATTCTACATAGATGTCTGAGTCCTTACATTATCGACTTTTACGGTGCATTCTTTCAAGAGGGAGCTGTCTACATCTGTATAGAGTTTATGGATGGAGGGTCGATTGATAAAATTTACGGAGATGGTATTCCCGAAAATGTCTTGAGGAAAATCACCTATGCGACAACTCAAGGTCTTAAAACCCTGAAAGACGAACACAATATCATCCATCGAGACGTTAAGCCAACGAACATTCTCGTAAATACCAAAGGACAGGTCAAAATTTGTGATTTTGGTGTCTCTGGAAATTTGGTCGCTAGTATCGCAAAAACGAATATTGGATGTCAATCCTACATGGCACCAGAAAGAATCTCGGGTGGTGGAATCTCACAAGCTGGTGCAAATCCCGGTGGTGGAACTTATAGTGTACAAAGTGATATTTGGTCCTTGGGATTAAGTGTCATTGAGTGTGCCATGGGAAGATATCCATATCCACCAGAGACATATAATAATATCTTTTCACAATTAAGTGTAAGTTTTTGATTTCTGATTGTTTCTTTATCTTGAGGTTTGAATCTAATATGAAGTAGGCAATTGTCGATGGTGAACCACCCGATCTTCCTGCAGAAGGTTTCTCCCCAACTGCCCGCAATTTCGTTCGAGGATGTCTTAATAAAATCCCAAATATGCGTCCTACATACAGTGATTTACTTCAACATCCATGGTTGGCTGAGCTTTCGAAACCAAACACAATTTCGGAAGAAGATGAAGAGGAAGAGGAAGGTCAAGTCGATGTAGGCAGTTTAAGTCTGGAAGATGGTGTAAAACAAGATACATCAAATGGTATCCTGACAGGAACCGAAGACTCGGAGGTTGCAGAATGGGTAAAAAATGCTATCGAGAGGAAGACATTGGGTCTCATGGGTACACATGCACAACCCGCCTTACACAAGGCGCCATTGGATACGGTTAGTCCGTTACCGAGTCCGAGGGAGTGAGGTAGTGAAGGATTGGTGCAGGGCAAATGAATGAGGTTATGAATTAAGAAGGAATGGGAAAGAGAAAGATGATTTTACATGGCATGGAATGGAGTTTCGGGTGGGCGCCTTTACGATTTTTGAACGATTGACAAGCTGGCGGTGGGCAGACTCTACTTTGAGATCCTAGAAGTGCATATTCTGGAGGGAACTCGATATGTACATTTGAACCTCTTACCTTTTCTTTTTCTTTATTCTTCTCTTTCTGTCCTAAGAAACGAAAACGTATCAATTTCTTTTTCTTCTTTTTTGATGATGCATAGCATGTATGATGGGTATTAGGCAATAAATGAAATGTATTATCATATTCTTTGAATGAAGAATGATTCGGGGTATGGGGACATGAAAGGAAATGATTGAAATAAACGGAGGGGGGTGGGAAAGGAGGGAAGGGAAGGGAGAAAGATAAATACCTTTGAGATTAATGAATTGAAATGAAATGAAACGACATGAAATGGATTGAATGAAATCAGATGAAATCAGCCAAGATGTGTTTTTTGGAATGACTGAGCGGTGGTTAATATAAGTAGCTGGGAGGAAATGTGGGTGGGGGGTATGGTCATGGATGGGTTTGGGGATGGGATTGACGACGGGGTTGTCAGTGAATCCATCTAGGATGAATTTGTTCACCTGGAGTTTCACATTTTGACTGCGAGATGAATGAATAAATGAATGGGTGGATTGATTTGATTTGATTTGATTTGATTTGGTTAAATACAGGATTTTCATGTTTCTGAAAGGGGTTTCGGATTTCAAATATCATCGTCTGGTTTGTTGCTTGTTGTTAACGCGGTTTGAGTTGAAGATCGATTTATTTGATTGGATTTATTTGATTGTATTTATTTGATTTTATGTGCTGTGCTGTGATGATTGGATGGATGGATGGATGGATGGGGTGTATGAGGTTGGATGGATATAGGTAGGTAGGTAGGTAGGGAGCTTTATGCTGTATTGTATGTTTGTTCTTTTTGAAATTGTCTAATGGGATTGATGGGATGGATGGGATTTTTATGGGGAGTGTGGTTAGTTCTTGGTTCTTGGTGATTGGGTGGAGGGTTGAGGGTTGATTTGTCGGGAAGATACTTTTGAGGAAGGATGGAGGGAAGGGTGTTATGTGGTGTGATGTGGTATTCTTTGCGGTAATATATATATATATATATATCATTGAGTTAAGTAAAGTTTATCGGACTGAAATCTTATGGCGCTGACTGACTGACATAATTCGATGATCGTTAGATCGAGTGTGAGGAACCTGGATAGGAGTTAGAGAATCGAATTGGTGTGCTCGGCGTGTGCGTGTTGGTGCGGATTTGGGAGATGGTTTTTTTTTTTGTTTTATGTTTTTTGTTTTGTGTTTTTGGAATGGGAATTGGAATTCAATTATCGCGCTGTGCTGGGATCGTGGAAATTAGGAAGAATTATGAAGATTGTCGAGTGCTGGAGAGGATGGGTTTGAGTTTGGATTTGTGTGTCAAGTATCATGTGTTAAGTGTTAAGTGTGAAATGGAGATGGATTTATGAGGGATACATACAGACAGACAGGCAAAGGGGTAGCGAGGGTAAATAGCTAGGTATACTCGTTAATGCAGGTCAAGTGTAGACATATTATGATATCCCAGTAGGTAATTCTTTCCAGCCCTTCGCGGACGTCCCGGACTGTATTGAGATGTTTGGGGATTAGAGGGGGAGGAGGGGGATATTTTTAGGTTACGTTTATGGTTATGTTCGACGCTTGCTCGTATGCAGTAGATATCGAGGATAGGAAAGCCAATATGCAGAATTATAAAACTCGCTTGAGAAGATTGAAAATTGAAATTGACGAAAAGTCTGCATCCAGGAGGACATGTAAAGATAAAGAGCTCTCTCTAGAGAAAGATTAAATGCTCGAATGGTATGATGTTCTTGAGATGTGAGATCTGTGAGGGATTGGCTCGGTGTCATTTAAAGGGGCTAGATCGATGTGTTGTGTTGAGGAGGAGGTGAAAGGTTGGATTTAGTGGTGAGTTGGTGAGTGAGTGGATGCTGTTTGGTCTTGATGGAGATATGGTTAGTATGTTGATGATGATGATGGGGGAAATGGGGGAAAGGGTGGAGTTACTATTTGATTATAGGAGTCGAGCACTAGTTGATATAACAAAATGCAAAGAAAAAAAATAAATTGGTACTTTGAGCACTTTTTTTGTTCTTCTATAACCTTATAGCTCTCTATAGTAATATATCTGTATGAGAGTAGCATCGTTATCAACACTGATAGAGAGACGCCGAGAATATAGTCAAAATTTGACACGATTCCTTGCTGCATACGATGAAAGTGAGAACTCACCGAACTTGAATTTTTTTGCTTCTAGTCGCCGATTGATGTTGGTCGAGCATTTGGAGATATACAGTTTGGTGGGACAAGTGGTGTTCTAGATCGTGAGCTGTATATCAGGTGAAACGATACTAAAGGCTCTGTAGGTATACTTTCAATAGTGATCAAGCCGTGTCATGGCCCCCTTTTACCGTTAAGTGAATGTTGTTCAGAAAGTATGCCTTCTATTTTCAACGAAGGCCGTCTCCTATTGTTGATAAAACATCCAATGCTGCCACAAGATGATTCTATCTGTTGCTGTGAAGTCACTGCCCACTAGTGAGCGCTCTGTGCTTCTAGGCTTGCCATGAGAGTCTCGAACAAGGAATGACCAAATACATCTCGGAGCTAGAAGTCAAGTGGCCATGGCGTGGTCTTTGGCAATATGCGCTGTTTGCTTGAAATGATATGAGGTATTCAACATCCTCTTTTATACCCGAGTTAATCTCCATTGAAATGGCAAATCTCGTGGAGTTTTGTTACACTCCTGCGCTCTAGCACGGGATATATATTTAAAAAGGAGTAACACCCGAAATATATAATCAGACGATATTTCATACCTTCAGATTATACATATTCGGGCATCTTTCTCCCGTTCTGTGGAATTTATCCCCATGCCTCTCGTGCATTAGCGTGGCTTTCACGGTCATATAGTCACACAGCTCGTGGAGTATTTTCGTCTGATGTCTCATTTGGTGATACAAGACACAAATATCAGAGCTTGAACCACATTACTTGACATTGGCATTCCCGATGTCAAATCGAGATATGGCATATGAGGAAACGAATTAAAGCAACGTTCGTTTTCTGAGTAGCAAGATCCGAACTAGATACCTTGAAGTAGTGACTCCTATAACACTACTTCTAGGTTTCTGTTCTTTCCTGATTTTTTATTTTCTTCTTCCTCTTTGACGCTTTTACTGCGTATCAAACACTTCCTCATCAACAAGTATTTAAAACCTAGACTCGAAATTTCGCACCAACGATCTCCATCCACCCTTCACAATGCACTCGCTATCCATCTTCATTTTCGGATTCACAGCTGTTCGAACTGTTTTCGGAACACCTATTCCAGTAAGAAATCTTAATCTCATTGTTCCACTTTAATAATTCAACACTCCCTCACACTACCTGCATCATGACACTCGCACAATTTAGTTAACTCCTTTCTACAAGAGACTTCCTACATCCAGCGGAAATATTACAGCATACAGTAACAATGTCCATATTGTGAGTATGCATAGAGCGCGACTCACCAAGTCCCCGTGAGACTACTGACAGCTGTCGCCTATACCAGGAATCCCATCTATCGAAACGATCTTCAGGTTCTAATGAAATCGTTGAGTGTCCGGAAGGTTTTGCTCCGAGGGATGGAACCAAAATAGTCACCTGTGTTTCTATCCATCTCAAACTGGAGATGCATGACTGAAAGATTCTGGAGGATGCTGATTGGAACATCGAGGCAACCAAGGAGGTTGGGAGAGATGTTTATTTCTGCGAGGGTGGAGAATCCGCTGGATGATAGAAGTTTCTACGATTTGGGAATTCCAGCAAATGGCAGTGTCATAGGGTCGGGATATAAAGACTGGAATGGACTAGCTAGTGTGCGATATGCATCTTATAATGTGAGGTGGAAAAAATGGAGTCTGAGGATTAGGAATGGGATTTAGGCAAAATCTTTACGCATTTACACATCTAAAGATGCAATCTCTAAGAATGAATACCTCGAGAGCTGGAAGCTGTGGCGCTCAATACCTTGATTCGACGAGGTATTATGTAATGCTGAATATACAAGTTGAATATGACATCATGAAAAAGCCGTGTATCTGCGTTGAAGAACAAGCTCAATACACAGTAAATCTAGCATGGTCTGCTTGGGGCGAAAAATATACTATCCAATTAAGGGAACAGAGTCATAGATTTGTAGTGAAACGTGTTGATTGATGTTCGTGATAGGTTTCCCCCACTCTCTACCATCGACTATTGATTTGTTATACTGCATCATCTTTTGTAGCACTTGCATGAGTTCCGCAGAGTATGTAACACACTCACTTGTCTTCTTATTTCTGTACAATTTCTGAATGTCACTCGCATGTGCTGCTAACACTTCCTGATGTCGAGGTTGGTAGCCAGGGAAAAGTTCTAACCATGTTCACTGAGTGCTCAGGAGCGGCCTCAAGATTAAATTGTTTGAATTCAATGACCCAAGAATATATAGTACACCAGAGCTGGTACGACTCCCACTTCAAATACCTTGCATCTCCGTGTCCACTATTTCACCACTCTCTATTCCAGGATCATCAACAACATCCTCAACTATAAAATCGTCTGGGATTCTAAAAATTTCCAATGACCTCTGTGCGTTTTCGTCCGTGTGCCATTCTGCGGCATGTTGATTATAATTTCTTTCGTAACATTCCTCTGAGCAGAAAAGAGCCTTATGCCCACTAACCATGCAAACTTTGCACAAACACATCCCATCATGGGATACCTCCTCATCAGCACTGAGCTCCGAAAGACAACAATCTTTCCAATGGGCACTCAAACAATAGTGATCGGCTTTGTCGTGATCTTCATGGTCCAGAAGCGCATGACTAGGAGAACAATAATAAGTCCTTGTATGATCTCTATCTTCTGGAACTTTAGACGCAATCCAGTCACATAAGATGCATTGTATCGCTCCTTCTGGTACGGATAGATCCACATCTTCATCACAGCCATCGTATGAGCAAAGAGCTTTACTCTCCTTTTCCACTTGCTGATGATGTAGATATTTGAGTGTATCTTTCTCCGCTTTCTTCGCCTTTGCTTTGAGATGTGCAGATTGTGCAAGATTAAGTTCATTCAGGCGATGCTGTAACTGTGCTATCTCAGTATCCTTCGTGCGAGCACTCTCTTTCTTCATGGCGGCAACAACCTCATCATAGGGAATTTCATTCTCAAACATTCGAGCATATTTACTTTTGTAATTCCGTACGCTGATAGAGTCTAATTCGAGAGGGCTGCAGTAATATGAAATGTAAATTGGGATTCGTTGTTTATGAGTTGTAGTGTCGTGCAAGTGAAGGATGAAATCTACTTGGTCTGGGTCTGGACATGTCTTGATATACTCCGTTAGGTAAGCATTCAAAACTTTTGAGATATTTCTCCCTTGATCTAGTTCCATTGCGATGCGGTCCTTGAATTCGATAACATCCTCAGAATCATCAGGTCTATGTGCACAAAGATCCTTCTTTAAATGTGCCCGAAATTCGTGATCTACTCTTGTGTGAATCTCGTCGAGCCTGTGGACTTTAGGTTGTTCGAACATCGACTGTAACTCTGCTTTGTAGTCAAATAATTTAGAGTACCAACGATCTGAATCTTCTGAGAGATACCAATCCTGATAAGCTTTGCGAGTCTGACGATCCTCTCCGATACAGCTCTCGCAATCCTTATGGTCAGTGGTGTGTGGTGTTGCAAAGGGGCTCTCGTAAAACTTTTTGATACTTTCAAGAGTCTTTCTGAGAGCTTCATGATCAATGCGATAATTATCTGCATGTTCAAGACGCTCGCCCAATGTAAGAGGATAATTTTGACCTTGCGGTCTCAATTCAAATGAAGTATCTCTGTGATGTATGTCAGGAAAACGCGCTGTCACGTGAGTGTCCCGACTTACTCCATGACCGTTTAAGCATGCGCCTATTTGAAATTGAATTCAATTGAGGACCCAAAGTCATCAACTCCAGTAAGATCGATAGTTCTCAGTGATATGTCGATGGCTAAGCTTGTCAATTGTGAAGAATTCAATCTTGTTATTTTAGTTGCTCAGATGTGATTGTATAACAACTTAGGATATAATGCTCTTTAGAGCTAGCGGCCGCTGGATGAAAGACGGACCGGGTTAACGTTCAATGAACTTAATGCTAGCAAGTATATCTTGACTTGAATCTTCCATTCAGCACAACCTGTCAATCAACACAAAATGGTAAGCTTCTCTACAATTTAATCCTATCTCCGTGATCGCGTTGCACTCGCGACTCATCCTTCTTATTTCTTTCCATCGATAATGCCAAGGTAAATAATAAAATCACTACTGATACGTCCCTGGGTATAGGCGGACAAACTTCGCGCGCAGCAGCAGCTTGAACAACTCCAGCAGCGTTATGTTGGAACAGGCCATGCTGATACAACTAGATTCGAATGGACGAGTAATATTCAGAGAGATTCATATGCCTCGTATGTGGGCCACCCGCCTTTATTGAGTTACATGGCAATTGGAATGGGAAGTCCAAGGGAGATTGTTAGGAAAAATATGATTGAGGTGTGTAATTTCGTGCACTCTGTGCCTTTTTATTTGGACTTGGACATTATTGGATATTTGAAAGTAGGAATGAAGGTGGAGACTAACACTCAACAGAAAATGATACAACCAGTTGGAAAGCCCCCCGAGGTGCAGGATTAAAGATATTGGGCATGGAATCTTCTAATGGAAAATTAAGAGAGGTATGTTCGAGAACTTGCTAGCATTATTTACAGATATGATTCTAATCATGGATATAGGATATCCCTTCAATTGAAAATAAGGGAATCGCATATCGACAACACTCATGGACATGACAAGATGATATCGGAGTGCGGAGGCAGGGGAGGACTGTTCAAGTTGATATCGGCGAGGAGTCATGTTATGGTGTTAATGGCGCAAAAATATATTTGGAGTCAGATTGATATCACATAACAAAGCTTTGTAAGAGGAGAAACGATTCTACAAGTTCCCGCGCGTGATTGAAGAAATAACCCATCGGACATCGCATTTGCAATAGCCCAATCTCTCACATGGCCCCTTTTCGAATTCGATATCTTCAATTATGATAAATTGACCATAATTTTCTATGGCGCAATGACATCCTTTCGCCATAAATTGCGCACAGAATTTCGCTCAAGATTGAGGTCAGGTCGCAGATAAATTTGAGCGTAAGTAGAAACCACCGAATACATTTTTCGTCAAAATTAATTGTGAGCATGGTTCAAACTCAATTTTCTGCAGCACTCCAATACATCACATTTAAGATGTGATATCAATCAATGTTTTCCTCGTCCCTCAATTCAAGAGTATTTCATGACTCGAATAATGACCCGAATTGCTTTACTTGAGCATCCAAAACTCCGTGGCCCCGATTGTGCACTACGTTTCGCAGCCGAACAATCGAATCTTCCCAAAAATAACGCCCGCTCTACAACTGCAGTTACCATTCCGTTCAATGCATCGACTATTTATTCATCATCGTCATCATCTTCTTCTTCAGCCGCTCCTCGTCGTGGCCTTCCCCTCGCGGAAACTCTCTTAGAGCTTGATGCTCCATTTTGTTCGGGCACCTCTGTTCCTTCTCCGTTCTCTCCATGAGTTGACTTTCTCTTCCCTAGTCCCAAGCTACGCTCCAATCGCTTATCGAGATCCTCCGGAGCATGCTCACCATAAACCTCCTTCACCAGTCCTTGCACACCTTTCGAGCCGATCTCCATCCTTCCTCGGGGTCCTACTCTCCATTCTATCAGCTCCTCTCCATCATTTCTTTCGATAGTTCGGGTTATGTAATTTTGTTGCATCATCTTCTTCAAGATAAGAGTTGTCTTGTCCAGGGGCAGGTTTGTTTCCGCATTTAACTTTCTTAGAACAGACATGAGTTTGCTGTCCGTCATCGTTGAGTCAGGGCTTAGCATTATAACAGAAACCACCGTAGTATAGAATCCTACATATGTAGCTTCATCCCACTGGCTAATGACTTTGGAAGGCTGAATAATCGAGGATGATCGGTAATCGGTGGGTAGAATACTTGTGAGAATATATGAAGAAGTTGTCGTGGATTTCGATTTTCTGCTAGCCTCCTCTGAAGGGGAGTAAATTAGTTGGAAACATGAAAAGGAAAAAGTGAAAAATTACTCACTCAATCGGCCTTTGACAGTGACATTTTCTTTAGCGGGGAGTTCGACCATTTCCATGCCAAATATGATTCTTAGCGATTCTTGTGCTGGTTCAAATATAGATTTAAAGGATCTCGATTGTGCTCCAAGAACCTTCTCCTTAATACCAGTTCTTGTAATTGGTAAACGCTGGAATTCGCACGCCAAGGCATATCTGACCAGTTTCTTCACAACTTGACCCAAAGACTCCTCCCTATCCAAGCCCATGCCTTCACCTGCTGCATCATCCTCATCTTCATCTTCTGACTCCGGATCTGGGTGACGACGTTGCTGAGTATTCCGAGGTATTTCTTCTTCTGACTCTTCATCTTCTCTAACCTGCCGAGATAAGTTAGCTGTCAAGCGCGGGGTCATTGAGAAATGGAAAGAGTAAGATAGGTGTAAATTACGACGTGTCGCCCACCTCTGCGAGAATTAGCTGGCATATTGAGTTTTCTATGTATGATCGTTCATAGAACAATTAATTCTTTGAATGTATTTCCGTTTTTATGATTTTATCACTCTTTCCCAGGGAGCGGGAAAAGTTAACTTGAGTTGGGGAGACGCGTCCAACCGCGTTTGGTCGGAAAAACTAATGCGGAAAAAAATCGGCCGCCTTCCCCGGTTCTCAAAAAATAATGAAGATTTCCATGAGTGAAAGGAAGACAATCATAACTTTCCCTTGACGAATTTTCAAACCGCATACATGATTCGCCGACATATATCTGCGGCGCATATATGCTTGAGATGCCAAATACGATTAGATCGAAGGCCTTTACCATTTCTAGCCCGAAGAGCGTATTCTACCGAATTGGATGCAGATCATGAAGGCAATGGGTTGCGGCCGTCGAGTGTTCAACCCCAGGGAAATCAGTTGGATAGCAATGCAGACACAGAGTCTCCTACCAAGGAAAACGACATAGACACGGCGAGACCCAGAGAATGGCCACCAGAATGGCGCAATAATATCGTTATCAGAAGACACGATGGTGCGATGAAGCCTCCCAGACCAAGTCGCAGCGTTAAACAAACCAAACCAGTAAAACAAATCAAAGAATCTAATCCCAAGATCTATGGACATACTGGAATAAAACAGGTTGGAAACAGTGTGACATTATCGGGTGTGGATGCGTTGGGGAAGAACGCTGAAGTCCTTGTCTTGCGAGATTCGAAGGTGAAATTTTACAAGGCGAAGAATAAGAGTCCTCCAAGTCCACCACCCGAAAATATTGATGTTTTAGCTAGGCTTCAAAGCGAAAGAGGAATTGTCTCATCAAAAGATGTTGAAGCACATATCAATGAATGTAAACCTGCAGAGGGAACCATACAAACATGGGACGATTTCAACGGTTTCGTGCAATTATTGCAGAAAAGTTTCACAATTCCTCAGATGAAGAAGTATATTCAGGCATACCCAGAAGAAGAAAGAATGAGGAAAGCACCATCTCTTGGTGTTGGAATTCTATACGACGAGAACGCAATTTCCCGAGCCACTCCGTGGGTACCAGAAATCTCCCCTATAAACCAGCCAGTCGATGATGATCCCCTGCGGGGATACTCTCCAGCATCCTATAATTACAAACAAAATATTGCGGTAAGGATCTTAAGGGAATGTTGGCAAATAGAAGTTCCGGAACTTGTTGATGGGATAGGTGAAGTCGAAGTTCAAGTTCAGATAAAGGATCTAGACTTTTTAAATAGTGCGTAAAATCAGACTTCTGTTCCTTCCCACAACTCAGCTGATGTAGTGTAATATCTAGGCCAAGGATACATAGAATCTTTGATCAAACGATATTATCTAAACGACCCCGAAAAGATTGAAATATATCGACCTCGTCAAGTTCTTCGTATAACCTCGACTCGAGAAAAGGCTGCCCTCATTGTTGCTGAGATCCAGGATGGAATACGAGGTATAAGTAGAGAGGAATTTCACCTGAAAGATTTATGCTTTTCTCATTACATCAGAGGATGGGAGAATAGAACTCTTACTCCAGAAGTACTGGCTAAACTTGGTGAATTGACCAAAACTGATATCAGAAGATTGTCACACAAAGAGCCGATTGTTAGTGTTCTCACATTTCATTCTACGTTATATACACTAACTAACTATTTACAGCTTCTGATTTCATCCATGGTTACCGACAGAAACACAGATTTGTCAAAACGGGCTGATGTGGTGAGACGTCTGTTACTAGATCTAGCCCGCTTCGATGGGTCTGACCACAATTCAAGGAAAGTTGGTTTGCGAGACTTCAACGAGTCTTCTCTCACAGTTGACTTGCCTGGAGGTTTTGTTAGATATCCAGGATCGCGGGAGCTTTCTTGGCACGAAAGGCTTCGTACGTGGAGTCGATGGACTACAGCCACTCCTAAGTCGGTAGCCATCGATAGCCCAACTGAAGCGACTCAATACACTTTTCCTTTCAACACTGTGGACGTAAAACTAGCTGGAAACCGTCAGAAGAATCCCGACCCTGAGGGAGCCGAATTCTTATGGTCTCATGAGTATTCGCCCTCTACCACGATTAAAGCCGGAACTATTTTACACAATATCAGCGGCCATCGGATTGGAAGATATATCGATAATGACATGGAGCATTCAAGGGGACCACCCGCGATATCGCCCGACAAAACATTGAACATGATCAACTTGAAGACAGAGATGGATAATGGATCAATCCGGATATTTTCCCCACAAGCGCCGAATATGTCAGGACTATTTCAGTCAGATCACATCGAAAATGGACAGTTTGATAGTGCAAACCAGGAACTTGTCATGCAATTCAAACCTAATCCATCGGCGGTATGTCCAAATGGCGACACAATCGGGCCTTCCGCTTTCAATGACTTTCCTCCAATAGAGATTTCTTTCATCATCAATCGAGAATCTTTTGAAGTAGAATTTCGGGAGCTCCACGCTATAGTTTCCACTGAGACAGCAAATTTGATGCTCCCTGAACACAAAGCAGATCTCCAGTTTCAAAGAAGGATTCATTCAAGAATGTTACTCGATGAATCTAAATCAAAAAGTGGGTTGGGTGGTCTGAAATCAGCCGCATTCTCTGTGAAGAATTTCATTCAGAATTCTCAGCTAGATCTAACCAGTGAGCGGCAATTGGAAACACCACCGAAACTAGTCATTCCACTCGCTAAACATCTTTGCACTGATCATGGCTGGAAACGCATGAACGGCCAGCCAAGATCGGGCGTTGATGTTGAATATTTGTTTGCCAAGCTTGAATACAGAAAGAAGACAACTTATAATTTCAACAATCACGAAATATGCTGTACTAGTGTCGAAGCAGGAAAGGCTGGTGGTTCACATTTGGAATTGAGTCTCACAACTCGATCCATGCCAAATCAAGATGAATTTAACGAGACTATGAAGACAGCATTGAAGATGGTACAGTTGATGGATATTAAGAATTTCACAAGTGTCTATGGACAGGTGAGAGAAACGTTCCCAGAACGAAAAGAACCAGTCTTGGGCCCTGGTGATTTCAAATACATACCAAAGAGGCCAAGTGATTTCTTGGATGTGAAAAGACTGTATGAAGAAGATGATGAAAAAAGATCCAGGTTCGACAGTGCGCCGGCCAAGGAGTAGGTTCATGAATCACACGTGGCGCCGGATAAAGGTCAGGAGTCTCAAGATCTTGGAAGTGGAAGATGGTAACTGGTCAAGGAATTTTAAATTACATGGTATGAACACTGTAAAATGCTGTAATATATGACATTATGAAACAAAAAGGGATCTGGAGTCATAAAGGAGAACATGGCGAGCATTTTTGTCAGTCTTTTATATATCCAACAGGACTCTTTTGTTAGATATTAGATGTTACCTGTAAACACTCATACAAATACTATACAATCAACTCAAACATCAAATATCCGACTTCCAACTTCATCTCAAGCTGGCAATGTACCTTCGTCTAGCTCTATACCACTGGCGTATTGCTTTACATGTGAGACTTTTATCATGTTGCGATCAATCACGGGCCTCGCGCAGCTCATTATCTATCGAATCAATCGAGGATCAGAAGGCGTGGACAGCGTACAAGTCTCTCCTCGATCGAAAATTATGTTTGAGAAAGAACAGTCACCTATTAGTCGTGCATATCCATTGCGATTAGAAGTTACAACGTGGCAGGAGATTCGCGTTGGAAATCAGTAACCCTTCCACAACAAACAACATCTTCTCCAAGCGGGATCCACTTTACTCCTCTCAACCGAAATGTCTCCTTTCCCGGATTTTCCCTTTCTGGAAGGACAGTAACTCCCCCCTTCCCAAGCCATACTGGTGCTATAGTTACTATAACTCCATCTATAAATTTTTGACCTTCAGCAAGCATGACATTAATAATTCCAGCACCTCCTTCGATCATCAAGCTTTCGATCCCCTCTTTCCAGAGCGCTTCTAGAATATCTTGCCAGGAGAATCTTCCTTCGTGGTCCGGTGATAAATATATGAACCTACCGCTCGCCGCTATTAGAAATTCTCTCTTTTCAATTGATATATCATTTTCTTTCTGGGCAGTGATGATCCAAGGAGCTTTGCCTCTACCATCCTTCACCAACCCGAAAATTTTACTTTCCTCTCCGAAATCCCATCGGCCTTTAGGGTCAATTATCACCGGTCTTGGTTGCCCCTTTAAACTCTTTCCGCCTCCATAACCTCCAACCCCTTCTATCCTGCAGTTCAGACTTGGATTATCTGCAATTGCTGTATTGACACCAATCAATATAGCATCATGTTTCGATCTCAAGTAATGCGTCATTGCTTTTGAGCCTGGGCCAGACAAGGGTGAACCAATGCCGGGACGCATGGTGATCTGAGAGTCCATAGAAGTGGCAAATGTGAGTGTTGTATGTGGAAGTGACTTTGAGTGAGCAGTTGAAATAGAACTTTTGGATGGTAGGTAATCGTCTATTCGGGCGCGATCAGTTTCTGGGAAGCGGAGAAGGTCCCTGGTGGAAGACATTGTATTTTGATGATCCGATAATATGACTATGAATTTTTTGAGATGATAATTTCGTGTTGGTGTGTTACAGACAATGCGTTGGAAAGAGTAATGTCAATACGATCACATTCTCGTGGTCTGCGTTGAGTTTGTACACGTGAAAACAGAAATTCATCGGATCGAACAAAAGCGTCATGGTCATGTGATGAAAATTCGTTAAAACTCCTACCAAGCACTACCGTTTGATGCGACTTCCGCGACATATCTTTTTGCAAACCGTTCAATCCAAATTTGTTCTCTGCGTTTTCCCTTGTATTTTTCCATGTATTTTGGCTACCTTTCCCATACTCCAGTGATTATACAGGAAAATAAGAGTGCAGCTGGAGCGATAATTAAGGTCAATAGTGCAATGTTTTTCAATAATCAGCTGCATTTCAATTCAAGAGTCTCATTTAAAAGTTCTGAAGATACTGCTGTTGATTTCATAAATTCATCATTGCAGATAAATGTAACAATCAGAAGTATTTCAATATCTAAAACAATTACAAATGCAGAAAACTTGTATATCTCCAGATTTTTGAATGTTAGGTTGCAATCCGACAGCGCTTGCTTTGTCACTTGAAAGCCGCCTCTGGTGTATCTCCTTTTTAGTTCATTCAATATTGAAAAGATTCCTCTCTCTTATTTATCTCGTCCGTTTTGTTTCTCGCCCGCGCGATTTCCTTCAATGACTAGAAACGTTTTGAACTCCACCTACTGTTCAAACACAGCTGTCCAGTCCTCCTTCTTCATCCACTCTTCCAGGGTAGTCATGGGACATTTCACCCCCGCCTATGAATTAAAATTAGCTACCAAGTTTCTTATTACTCGCGGATCTCGTTCTCATTCCCAGCATGATGTATGTTACATACCTTTTCAATATCCTCCTTCATCCACAATGTCTGATCACCTCCATCATATCCCGGGTCGCTAGAATAGACGAACATGGCATTCAATTCCTCCCCGAAAGATTTATCTTGTTCTCGTCCCACAAACTCATCTTCCGTGCATTGCCTATATGTCGCAACCTTCCCAGTTGTTTCACTCCATAAACGAATATATTCGCTCCAAGAACAGTTGCTACCGCATGCCATGTAGCTTCTACCAGGTGGAAGTTGCGAAACGGCATAAATAAAAGAACCAAGGTCACTATTTATGGCAATATGAGGAACTGCTTTATTCGGGGTCGTTGGGAAACTCATTTGGAAACTTCCGTCGGGTTGCTATTCAGTATCAGTTTAGCTGGTGATATCTCCTCATATCACGACATCCAGTTGTGGAGATATCAATAATAAAATGACCATCCTAGGGATTCGTGTGATATATTGACAAACGAACAAAGGAACAAACCTTTCCCAAATAACTTTTCACAGCCAACTTATAACTACTAGTAAAGTACCCCGTCATAACACAACTCATTTTTTCAGCCAATTCCCCTTGGCCTCCATATTTCTCCCTCACATAATAAGGAAAAATATCAGCCTTTGCATCATGATGATACACTTCCGTGAACTTTCCTCCACTAGATTTTCCTGCATGACTCAATGTACTCGCAATGAACCCATTTACATCAAGTCCTGGAACGACACTCGAGTGAGCAGCAGCATCAGCGATATTCTTTCCTTGTCGATACTCGACATCATAGGCATATTGCCGGCACGAGATTCCAAGCTCCTGAGCTCGTTGACGACAATCGGGACGGAAGAAAGGTTCCCAGTAATTTGTGACGCTAAAAATAAGATGCGCTCCCTGAAATGCAGAGATCAAAGAGTTGACATCATCCAAGTCCGCTTTCACGATTTCAACGCCTTGCGCTGAGAGTGATTGAGCTTGGGCGGATGAGGTATTTCGTGTTATACCGCGGACTTTGTAGTTGGAGTCCTGAAGAAACCTTTGGGCGACAGAATTCCCTTGATTGCCTGTTACACCGATGATTACTATTAATTTGGTCATAATGATTGGAGTGGGGATGGGGATGGAGATGGCTTTGTTTGAGTAACGGGATAATTATTGATTAATTATTTTTGGAGATGGCATCGGAAAATATATCAAGGTTAAGTGGGGTTTCACAATCAATTCTACGAGCACTCACCCCCACATTCAGCCAGGTTTTTTCATTCGATGTCAACGAAGTAAGCAATATTTCATCTGCGATTTGCTAAATAATGCAAGAAAATACATGAGAGGTCAGCTTCACATCGTCGCCGCCCTGACTCTCTCGTTTGGCATACACTGAAACTGGATTCACCAATCGAGACGGTGTCGAATCAAATCTGGAGAAAGTGTTATGTCAAAAAGAAAGTCAGAAAATGAAGAGGCAGATAGATTTAAATTTGATATTTGAGATGATGTTTCATTAGTCGCAATCCTCAACCACTACCTCGTGGTCTCTTCGAAGCTTTCCTATCCCCATATAATCTACCAAAAATATTACAACAAGTATGCAGGCTAAGAGATAAATGCCATCTGGGAGTAACATGGAAGTAGCTTCGCTGTACAACTTCATTCCTAGAAATCTTTCCTCAAGAAGAACAAATTATCATAGAATGTGATAAGTAAACAGCAGACTAACTTTCCTGGCGAGGGAAGACTCTCCTAATGAAAAGCTTATTCATTCATGATTTCGTTTATTTGTTTTGTGTGAGAACATGAAAATACAAGAACTTCTTTGTTGTACCTCGAATGAAGTATGCCAGCTCACACGATGGAGCGCGCATACACATACACTTGCCCAACCATAAATGGATGAATGCCAAGCTCATGCTAACGGGCTAAAATCTCGGCGTAGAAGCAAAGGAAGGTAAGTCTTACATTTTCATTACCAAAAGCCTGGTTGCCGGCATGTACCCGTTGATCGAAATGACTTCGCTTCGGTGAATACCACTGACCACGCCGAGGGTAGGAGAGAGCTCTGCATACAAGTTATAATTTCCGCAATGACACAAATCAAATTTGTGAACATCAATACACTTGTTGATGTTTTTTGGCAAAAATGTCGCTCACGACGTTGACGATAATTGATGGTAATTTCTCGACGCACATAAATAACCCTCACTGATCTTACTGAATACTGGAGGTCGAAGAGAGAAGTTCTTGAGACTAATTAGCAATTTTAAGGTCTCTTCAGCTTGGATGGAAAGCGGGCACAACAGACTTGTCAAAATCGAGACTAAATTTTGGACGCGTCCGCTTTTCCGTCCAGCTGGAGAGTAAAATTTACTGGAAATTTCAAGTGTGGGGTTGTGGGGGGTTGTGGGACGGGGGCGGGGTGCAGGGGAGAAGGGGATGGATCGACATTTATTTCACCGTATATTGTCAAGTTCAAAGCTTTGCCCCATCTTCAATCTTGAAAGTTTTGAAGTTGGTACAGTTTCGATTAACCGTTTTTGCTACCCGTTTCCCAAAGCTTTGGTCTTGATGGTTCGTAGAATTCTTGGCCACATTGTGCAAGCGTACCCGTTCAATTTTATCCAATCACTTAGCGTTTTGAGGACGTTAGCTCTTGGTACTCATGGTGGACGGAATGGGTATGTCGACAAGAAGAGTGGACGTGATACATGTCCTCGTGAGTGGGCAAAACAAATGGAATCGAGATTGCTGTACCTATTCTCAGATTTCAGGTGTTTAAAAGCTATAAAAGCTAAAGAATCCCGCGTCAATCTCTAGACAGACTCCCACCTGTATACCAGTTGCAAACAATGGAGTCCCTCAATCCGAAGAGTTTGCTTCGCGCAGCTTTGCTTTCCACTGCATTATGTGGTCCGAGTATCACAAACGCGCAGGATGTTATTACCGATGATACATATTTCTATGGACAATCTCCACCTGTGTATACATCCCGTAAGTTCCTATATTCCCATCTTTTACGAGTTCCTATCTCTCTTTGGACAAATGACTTATACATGCCACAGCCGAAATGCCAGGGAACGGATCATGGGCATCTGCTTATTCCAAAGCTGTCGCTCTAGTATCCCAGATGACCATGGCTGAAAGAGCCAACCTCACTGTTGGTAAATCAGAAGGCTTGAATGGTTGTAATGGCCTAACAGGCTCTGTACCGCGACTCAATTTTAAGGGTATCTGTATGAACGATGCCGGAAATGGTCTTCGTGATACGGAATTGGTGAACTCCTGGCCTAGTGGTGTCCACATGGGCGCAAGTTGGAATAAAAATTTAACTTATCATAGAGGGTACAATATGGCAAGGGAGTTTAGGACAAAAGGCATCAATGTTGCTCTTGGTCCTGCTGTCGGTCCTCTTGGAAGAGTTCCAATTGGCGGGAGGAATTGGGAGGGGATGGGCAATGATCGTAAGTTCTCTTTCAGTTACTTGACTTCCCAAACTCATCTTCTCATTGGCAATGCCTCGAGTCAATCTGAATATCGCTAATAATAAACAGCATATCTTTCAGGAAAGCTTGCGGCTCAAACTGTTTCCGGAATACAAGACGCTGGTGTAATAGCATCAGTGAAACATTTCGTTGGAAATGAACAAGAATATAAGCGAAATCCGCCTGGTAATGTTTCTGCCGTCTCATCTAACATTGATGACAAAACAATGCACGAATTATATCTTTGGCCATTTGCCGATACTGTCCATGCAGGAGCGGCCTGCGTCATGTGTTCATACAATCGACTCAACAATTCATATGCCTGCCAAAACAGCAAAGCTCAAAATGGACTTTTGAAGACTGAACTGGGCTTTGAAGGATTCGTTGTAAGTGACTGGGGAGCATTGCACGCTGGTTATGCAGCAGCAGAAGCTGGGTTGGATGTCGTCATGCCAAGCTCAGACCTCTGGGGAGTGAGTGGTGAAAATTTGACAGCATCCGTTGCCAATGGGTCTCTTGCGGAGTCAAGATTGACCGATATGGCTACTAGAATTGTGGCCAGTTGGTATCAAATGGGTCAAGATGAGGATTTCCCAGAACTCGGTTTATCATCTTCATATTTGACACCACATGCCAAAGTCAATGCTCGAG